TTTATTGGTTATCTCATTACAATCTGCTGAAAAGATTATCAAACCTTAGTCCTCATGATGATGATCTTATGAACCAAGTTTACGATTATGAAAAAAAATATGCTGAGTTACTGGATAAAATTTCGTGCAAGGACTTGGTACATTTATTTGATCAATGGTCTGAGCTCTCCCCCACCATTCCTGTTGGTTTGCCTTATATTTCCTTTCGTCTTGACTCTCCTTGGCTTCTATATCGTTTTTATACTTGGATATTAACCTTTGGTAAATTCTCATGGTCAGAAGATGCATTTCTCAAACAATTGCGGAAAAATTGTATTATCATCACTTATGCTATACTGCCATGTGTTCTTGATGATGTCATGAGAGATCTCAATGATCCAGTGATATTGAAGAAGCTAGAGAATAAAGGAGTTACTGTAATTGAATTACTACAAGAAGAGAAATGTGAGTTATGAATTAATTCAAATTGCATGTACGTACGTATACATGTATTATGGTGATTTGATTTTATGATTATAATAGATATTGTTCATAAATCAACACCCAGCAAAGAAGGTAATTTTATGCCAAAAATTTTTTTTATTGATAACTTTTGTATTATCCAGTAGATGAAAAAATTGATTTCATGGATAAAGAAGTACCAGCCATAGATTTTTAAATTATAAAATTATTTGCATATTTAGGAATCAATTTTGAAAGCTACACCTTCTTCCCTCGCACAACTAAAGACTGAATCGACAGAGCAAAGCATTGCTGACAGTGATACTATCGTGGTATGTGTAGCAGTTTTTGCAAATTTCAGTGATGTTTATTTAAGATTATCATTAACTGCAATGAATTGTTTGTGACATATCACGTGTAAGATAAAGTTTATGCATATAAAATTACCAACATAAAACCTTATTCTACATGTGATGTATTCAATAATTTTGTGCTTGCATAATCACATGGGATCTGCAGGTTTTTTTCAATTGTTAGCACTGTCTAATAGACAGATAATTATGTACAGGTACATGCTCTTGAAGTCAATTAGAACAGTTACTCACTCATCAGACAGTGGCTTAGTCCTACATAACCAGATTCATTCTATTTTTGTCCAAATGTGGAAGAGGCAGGGTTGCCAGGAGGATTTGGCATAAAAAATACAAGAAGGAAATTCTATGTTGTAATTTTTTTAATGCATATATACATGTACTTATGTTGTTTAAAAACATTTGAGCTGACTCTGATCAAATTAGATTTTTATAAATTTTTAAAATTTCTCAATATTTGAGGCAAAATCTTTGTACTATAGTACATGGTCTTGGGCTAAATTTTGCTAAACTTGAAAAGGATGGACTTCTCCATTCTTATATTTTTTTGGTGTATATACATGTATTGATGTTGTGAAGGAAAGTTTTAGCTGATTTTGATCAAAATTATATATTTCAATGAATTTTTAATTTGCTCAATATTTGGGTCAAAGTCTTTGTACTATAACATGGTCTTGATTTTTATTTTTCCTCAGGGGAGTAGGAACAGGGGGGGCAAGTTGCCCCCCAATATTATTTCAGAGGGGGCTTGCCCCCTCAATATCAGTCAATGATTTGATTTATTATAGGCCTGTACCTAGGGGGGTGATAGGGGTGACAGGTCACCCTCCTTTTTGCAGTCATAATAATAATTATGACATTGTAATTGTAGTTCAAAAACATGTTAAAATTGCTCTCTGAGCAGCGCTTTTTGAAAATTTTTTCTGGGGGGTACCCCCAGACCCCCCTTCTTATACATATACATGCATACACACAATCTGTCTTGCCCCCCAAATTGAAAAATGGTTCCTACTCCCCTGTTCCTGGTTCATATAGATTTTCATGTATATACATGTGTATGTTGTGTAGAAAGTTTGGGCTTATTCCAGTCAAAATTGGATTTTTAATGAATTTTAAAGCTGCTGCATATGCCATGTACAGTACTTGTGCTAATTGTCATCTCATGAAGTATGCTGTTTAACTCACTTAGCATGTATGCTTTGTAGAAAGCCCTGCTAAGAGGGAGATGGATCTGTGAAATAAAATAGTGGCTACTACAAGGTTTCAATCCTGTTCATAATAGCAATTAAGTTTTATTTCACAGGCTAGATTCTATGAAAAATAGCCACTAAGAAATACCTCTTGCAAAATGCATTATTTTTGCAAAAAATTAAGTTATTAGCTAATTAAATTTAGTGATTTTTAGTATTAATAAAATGGCACCTTTCAAATTTTAATTCCTTGACAATGAATTCTGGTGTATTTAACTGACGGGTATGTTTTTTTGTAACTATTACTGTAATGTACATCTAGTTATAGGCTTAAATATTATTTTAAAAATTTTTTTGTAGGCAAGCAGTGTGCTGCAGGAAATGTCTTTGTTAGAGCAGGGGTCTATTAAGGAAAAAGCTATAATGGAAAGTTCCAATCTGGTACATAGAGTAAAAAATTATATTTTAAAGCATAAATACCTAAGATCAGCAAGAATTAAAATTATTAAATTTAATAAATTAGTATTGTATTTGCTGCAACTCCAGTAATATTATTATGTATAGAATAAAATGTTGATAGAGGCCATAAACCCTTATACTAAACCTGAGGAGGTTATTGGTCTACTTGAAGCTGGAGCTGATCCTAATGCTACTGAGGTTAGTAGTTGTGTGTAGTATTAAGAATCCTCCATCATTTAAATTTGTTTTAATAGTGTACACTTGGTGGTGATACTGCTCTTTTTAAAGCCATAAAGAAAGATAATGTTATCATTTTGGAATTATTACTGAATAAAGGAGCCAATCCTAATATTGGTTCTGATAGAGTAAGTTTGTACACAATCCTCCACACACATACTTGAGGCCCCGTTTACACTAATCCATTTTCACATGTAAACGGTGACTTTTTGATTCTGATACAACTTGTGTTTACACTAATACATGAAAATGCATCACCTATCCGAAGCAAAATGAAACCAGATACCAAAGTGGATACTTCTATAAACGCCGAATGATAAATCTTATGAAAATGCAGCTGCTGGATTAGTGTAAACACCTGAAACGAATAATAGCAAAAACAACCCTGATTTAGTGAAGTGGATTAGTGTAAACGGGGTCTGAGTGAATCTTGATACAATTAACATTGCATTTGTTGTTAATTAAGGTGCATTGTACATCAATTCAGTGCATAATAATTGAATCATCAATTTTTGTTTATATTGTAGTATACTGGTACTCCTCTACACTGTGCTAGTGAAATTGGTAATGCTGATTTTGTTCATCTATTAGTATCTAAAGGAAATGCTGATGTTAATGCTGTCGATAAGGTTAGCTTAAAATAGTCATAATTGTATCATTATGTTGTATCTATAGAGAAACAGAACTCCATTGTTTAATGCTGTTGATAGTGGTAATATTGAAGTTGTTGATATTTTATTAACTCATGGAGGTAGAACTGATGCTGTAAATATAGTAAGATCTATTTTTGGCCTTGCCCAGCTTTGCGTAGGCGAGGACTAGGTACTCAGTTTGTCTGTCTGTCATTCATTCATTCTGTGTGCTATATTTTGTCTTTGAGAATGTATATCTTTATAATCGCGTGCTCTAAATCTGTGAGAGCTTCTCTTCTGTTAGGAAAAGTCTTGCTTTACTGCCTTGAGATGTTTAGAGAGCAGCTCTAGCTAGTAGAAGCTTTTAATCTCACGAGAAAATGCCCAGCAATAGCGGTAGTACTCTGGAGGTAAATGAGATTCTTTTCCAGTAGATCAAGACTAGTTATTGTTTTAATATTTGTGGGACTCTTTAAATCTTTCTTGTTGGTGAGTTATAGCTTCTTGAATTTCAACCCGAGTGAACTGTAGGTAGTCTAAAGGTCCTAAACTCTCTCAAATCACTCAGTTTACATCTAGGCAACAGTATTTGTACCATTTTAATGTCATATAGCGCTTATAACAAGAGAAAAATCTGCCTTGTTTCCATCTAATAATTAATTAATTGTTGATGATGTAATGCCACACCTCCAATTTGGGAGTAGCTGGATTAGCTTGCATGCTGCTACTTCTGCAGGTAGTCTGGTAGATCTATGCAAGCTAGCTGCTATCCCTCAGGAGTACACTTTTTTATGTATATATGCAATTTGCATGCTAAAGTTCTTTTAATTTTGATAATCAAACAGCTATAGGGGCGAGGCCACGCACCGTAGGTGTCTCGTATTACATGTACTTCTATTACTTTTTCCCAAAATATGAACTACTATGTAGATGTAGATGTAGTAGTAGTTTATGTATTTTTAATTTTCCGTTAAATGTTAGAGTATTAGCTGCACTCTTAATTTTTTAGCTTTTTCAAGGGGACCTGATTTAGCAAAAAGTAGTAATATTAGCAAAAATAGGATAAAAATTGATGGTGAAACTCCCATTTCATGGCATAACGCTGTTTATAAAGGCCAATCTAAGCAGTTAATAGGCCCACCCTATCTACTTATACTGTTATCTTGTTACAGAGCTCTCCTATCTTGTTAATGTACATATATAGTTACATATAGCTATTATTAGTTACTGACTTAATTAGCATTTTAAGTGCCCTCACTAAAAACACTAAAATTGCATGGCACAATTAGTACCCACATTCAAATATCAAACTTGATCTAGCCAATTAGATAGTTAAATATTTGTTTACATGTACTGTATATGTGCATGTTTTATGTGACAAAAAAGGTTTTTAAATGCTTTAAATTATATGCATGTAGCTCGATGACACTGTATTACACTATGCTAGTGAAAGTGGTAAAGCTGATATTGTTCAATTGTTAATTGCTAAAGGAAAAGCTGATGTCAACACTGTAAATAAGGTGAAGTTAATTTATTAAATAATTATATAATTTTTGTTGAATTTATAGTGGACTAAAAGAACTCCATTGTTGAATGCTGTTGAAAGTTATAGATGCAGTATTAAAGTCATTGATATTCTACTTCATAACAGAGCTAAAACTGACATTGTGAATATAGTGAGACAAATATTAACATGATAATTGTTAAAGCATCATGCCTCTAACTAAACCTAGAGTCAATTAGAATTATAATTGTGATTATAGTACAATATTACGATTACACAATTGTGATTGTGATTGAGGCTCAAAATGTAATTGGAATTTTTATCGAAATTGAGTAGTCATAGTGTACTGACTATTGCTCAAAATCAAAATTACTCAAAAGTTGCTGAAGAGTTTCCACATTATAATTTTTAGATTTTTATAATTTTTAAGTTGCTAAAAGAAATCTGGCCATGACCATACATTACATAATGGTCTCAGGTCAATTATTGCTTTACTACTATTGCTATTATCATAGGATGGTGAAACCCTGCTCCATTGTGCTAGTAAATCTGGTAAAGCTGAAATACTTAAGTTTTTCACAAAGAGAGAAGATTGTGATGTGAATGTTTTGGATAAAGTAAATTTTCAAAATTTTAATTTGTGCACTTTTTTTCTTGTTGTTGCCTAGTACAAGAGAACTCCATTGTTTAATGCTGTTAAGAGTGGTAGTATTGAAGCTGTTGATATTCTATTAACAAATGGAGCTAGAACTGATGTTGTGGATGAAGTAATAATGCATAGGCTATTGCAAAATAAGTATTTTTATAATTATTGTTACTGTATACAAAACTATTTATTGTAAATATAAAACTCGTCCTTTTTGTAGGAGTTAAATTTTGCAAATTAAGTTTTAACTGTACATTAGTACTTTTAGTAGCAAAAACAATTCAATTTTGTGTGTTTTATTTTTTTATCAGAAAACATTTTATATACAGCCTAGTAATTTGTAGTAAACTGCAGACTTAAGTTCATTTTGTTATTTTTTTACATGTAAAAAGATAACAAAAAAAAGATCTAAATAAAAAGATAAAGATCTTTTTATTGTTCATTTGTTATTATTTTTGTCATAACTATTAGGATAATAAAATTTTACTGCATTATGCTAGTAAATCTGATAAAGTTGAAATGCTCAATTTTTGGATTAGAAGAAATTATGATGTCAATGCTTTGGATAAAGTACATGTACTTTATTTTAAAATGTTGTTTATTTTATTATTTTTTACCTATAGAACAATAGAACTCCATTGTTTGATGCTATAGATAGTGATAATATTGAAATCGTTGGAGTACTATTAAATAATGGAGCTAAAACTGATGTGGTAGATAAAGTAAGCACCTTTGTTAATGATAATATTTTATGCATGTTACATGTAGCCCTTCTGCATAATTACAAGTTTGTTTGTACAGTCAAGGGAAACAGATGTACCTACATGTTAAATGGATGATTTCTTTAATCCATTCACATGCTTTCTGTTAGTTTTCACTCCATTACAACTGATGGTCTTTAAAATGATTATAGAATTTTTGCTTTAGCAATACATTTTTAATTAATAACATTTTTAATTAATAGTTTAGTGGCTAACAATTCTATTATTTTTGTAATTATATGTTACAGTCAGGTGAGACGCCACTACACTATGCTTGTATGACTGGTAAAGCTGATATTGTCAAATTATTGATTACAAAAGGAAAAGCTGATGCAAATGCTCTGAATAAAGTAATGATAATTTCTATTAGTATTATACCAATAATTTTAATAATATAGAGGAGCGAGAAAACTCCATTGTTTTATGCTGTTGATAGTGGTAGTATTGAAGCTGTTGATATTCTATTGACTCATGGAGCTAGAACTGATGTTGTAGATAAAGTAAGTGAAATTTACAAAATATACTTGCTACAATCAGTTGAGCTAGGTTCCATTGCTTGTATCTAGTTTTAAGCCAATGTCACAAATTGTTGGATAGTCACACTACATGCAGCTTCTATTTTTATGCATATTTTAAAAGTAAAATGTTCTTTTGACTCCCATAGTTACCAGGGTGACAGAGTTGGTGTCTATTAACTTGAATACCCTAGCAAAATTAGCAATTACATTACTACCAATTAATTATCTCATAACAACTAAACCATGTACAACTTTGATAACCAGATTTGACACTTATGCCTGTAAAAAAATGTGCATGTATACCATGAAGCAGCTCTTTATTGAAGTTTTGTTTTGAATCACTTTTTTGTTTCTTAATTTTTTTTTGATTTGCTGTTTGCCAACCCTTGTGCAGCTTCAAACCTTTGATGTCAAAAGTGGTAATTTATGCCTTCACAGCTAGAATATCATTGCAGTAGAGTATCATTATTTTGCCTATCAAACTATATACCATAAACAGAGTAATTTTTTGTATACTTATATAAATTTTTGCACTTTAAAAATTTTTAACTCTGTACTAAATTTTGGAAATAAGTGGCTTTGAATTTCATATCCAACAACTATTTTCTCTTTTTACAGTAATTATTTTTTTTGTTTTGTTCCCTTCCCTGTTGTTGCTGCCTTTGTTTATTATTATTATTATTGTTATTATTATTATTATTATTATCATTGTTATATTGGTTTTATAGAATAATTATACTGGCACTCCTTTACACTGTGCTAGTGAAACTAATAGTGCTGATATTGTAGAGTTATTAATAAAAAAAAAAATGCTGATGTCAATGCTGTAAATGAGGTAAAAATCCTGCGCAAAAATTTTGAGGGCTGTTGTAAATTTTGAAAAATTGCCTAAAAATCTATTTCACCGATCTAGCTTTGCAAATTACAGTATACAGTCTGTTATCCTGTATGGTACCATGATAAATTGATTTACCCAAAAATTGATAATCTTTAAATTGCTAATTTGCACCCTCAAAAATTTTGTGCTATACAAGGATTATTTTTCATTGTATTATTTTATGTTGTATTTTAGAGGAATAGAACTCCACTTTTTAATGCAGTTGATTGGTGTAGGATTAATGTTGTTGATATTTTACTAGTGAATGGAGCTACAACTGATATTGTGGATCAAGTAAGGATTTGCACACCTATACAAGTTATAATCCTACAAATTCAATAACCATACTTTCTTGATTATTATTATTTTGCTGTTAGTATGGGGAGACTCCTTTACATTTTGCCATTAAAAGAGGTGAAACTGATATTGTTCAGCTGCTAAAAAAGCATATGTATCATGAGGTAAGAACAAAACTCATAATGTTTTTTTAAATGTATATTGGGTTGTTTTTCTAAAATTTTGTTAAAAATTTTTTGCAAGCCATCTCACATGGCAATGAAAATGCAGGACTTCATAATTTTAATTTATACAATTGAGCGAAAAAGCTAATTTCATATAAATATTTTACTTCAAAATAACCTGATATACAGTATATGTATTGGATAATTTTTTTTTATTTTACGAAAACATTGCATTGTACATGTAAATAGGTAGAGCTTCATGCACTACTTTTGTAATAAAGTATTAAGTATTGTAATAAAGCTTTCATGCTTTGTAAAATAATCCTTTCCTTTCAAATGCATGTGGCCCATTTTTTAATTTGGCAATAAGACAATAATTATTGATATGGCAGTTTAGTCTAATATTTATAGGCCACCTATAACAAAAGCTTTCATTGTTCAATAGATAAAGGAAGATCTTGCCACATCACATTCAAAGATTAGTAAATAGAGAAATGACTCATTACTTATTAAGATATTAAAAGGCAGTATTAAGAAGAAATGAGTTCATATTTTGGTCATTATTACTACAGATTATTATATTAAAGTATTTTAGTAGCATTTTTATTTATTTTTGAAGAGCTGAAATTTTTACAACTTCAAAAGTGAAAGCTATTCAAGACTATATAATGTGTTTATATGGCTAGTACTGCTGGAGCCTTCAGTTTTTTAGTTTTTGATCATCAACAATAAAATTTGTTGAAATAAAGCAAGCGAGAAAACAATAAAACACACACACACACAAAGCAATAATTTTAATAATAATAATTAATGTTATCTATTTTAATTTATTTAATATTTTTATTTTTCATTTTTCAATTTTATTAATTATTTAATTATTTATTTATTTATGTATTTTTATCCTTTTAATTTTTTATGACTTTAACTTGAAAATTTTTAAATTATGACCATTTTAGAAATTGGCCAATTTCTGAATAATACCCTGTAGCCCATGCTTTTTCCAAAAGAACGTATAAAATCAACAATTTTCAGTACATTTTTTATGCATTATTGATATTCATGCTATGTATAAATTTCGAGCTACTTTTAATTAAAAATTGACAAAATTTCTGCAAAATACCCTGTATACATAGCCCATGATTTTCTCCAAAAAATGGATCCAATTTTTTATTACTATGACATAGAAAGTTTGAGCTGGTTTTTTAAGTTATGGCCATTTTAAAAAATTGGCCAATTTCTGAAAAAATCCCTGTTCTATTATATCCCATTTTTTTGAAAAAATGGCTAAAAATCATTCCAAATTTTTATTACAATTTCTGATGCATATTGGTGTACTTATGCTATGTAGAAAGTTTGAGCTGATTCTGACTTAATTTTTCGAAGTATGATCATTTAAAAAATTTGGCCAGTTTTCAAAAATTACCCTGTAGTCTATTATTATTATTATTATTATTATTATTAATAAACTTTACAATACATACTAGTATACTACAAAATGTGACAAAAAGGAAAGAAACAAAAAAAGTTGTATTGAAGGCTAACGCAGTAACAAGACTGGCCACCTAAAATTACATAGTAAATAATAATGAGAGTGCATAAATAAATACGTAAAAAGAAAACAGTTAGACACAATTGAAACAAGGACAACAAAAATGAAATGAACAAATTAAGGAAGAATCAAAGTTATTTACAAAGTAATCAGTAAAAATTATAGCCCATGGTTTTTTCCAAAAAATGGCTCAAAAATTACCCCAAATTTTTATTACATTTTCTGATGCATATTGATGTACTTATGCTATGCAGAAAGGAGCTGATTTTGACTTGAATTTTTCAAGTTATGGCCGTTTTAAAAAATCGGCCAATTTCTGAAAAAACTCCTGTACTATAGCCCATGGTTTTTTCCAAAAAATGGCTCAAAAATTACCCCTAATTTTTATTACATTTTCTAATGCATATTGATGTACTTATGCTTTGTAAAATGTTTGAGCTGATTTCGACTTGAATTTTTCAAGTTATGGCCATTTTAAAAAATTGAAAAAACTCCTGTACTATAGCCTATGGTTTTTTCCAAAAAATGGCTCAAAAATTACCCCAAATTTTTATTAAATGTTTTGATGCATACTGATGTACTTACACATATGCTATGTAGAAATTTTGAGCTGATTGGCAAATTGCCTTTATTTTTTTATTTTGATAATGTGGATCATGTTAATTTTTGTTTCATCAGCAGTCTATGAGAATGCTTTGTATGCATGTGCCATTAAAATGGCTTGTACTGCTGGAGCCTTCAATTTTTTAGTTTTTGATTATCAACAATAAAATTTGTTGAAACAAAGCAAGCGAGAAAACAATAAAACACACACACACAAAGCAATAATAATAATAATAATAATAATATTAATATATGATATAACAGTGTGCATATTATATATTGAGAAAAAGAAGAGAATACTAATAATGGACAAAGTGTATATACTAACAGAGAGAGAGAAAGAAAAAGAATAATCTGTATGTGTGGTGATATTAAAGTTCTATAGCAACACTTAATAAAAGACAGAGAGAGAGAGAAGCATAAAACAATACACGTACAGCACAAGACAGGAACTGAGACTACAAACACTTTAAAAATCAAAGCAGTAATGCACTAATAGTCAGTTTGGGCAGAGAGAGAGAGAGAGAGAGGAGGGTAAATCAAGAGGTGGTGCTAAGGAGAGTGGTTAAAAACACAATCATAGTGAGAGAGCAAGAGTGCGTGTGTTTCTCTAGTCCGTTAGTAAGAACCCTCTCTTGAGTCCACAGAACCCGGTCTTCTTACGTAACTTTAGTGGTGGTCCATTCACGTCACACTCCACCCCTTCCTCTTTTGCCCAGTCTCTGTCACCAGTTGGTGTCGCGGCCTCAGCCGTTCTACGTCTTTTGAGTCCTCTCATTGCCTTCTGCTGCTGCATACGCCATTTCAAAAGAGCCACTTTATCTCGTAGCTCCTCGTTCTCCTTGAAACGAGTCTTTGATAAGTTAGAGCTATCATTAGAGGTGTTTTTAAGTGTGTTCTTGGACGATCCTCCGTCCATTAACATTTCCCCATAACTGGTCATTGTGGTCCGTGAGTGTATTATATCATGCATGTCACTGTCACATGTAAACTCTGATGAGAATCGGCCCTTGAATGTCCCGGGGACTTTCCCTTTCACACGCTGTGCATACATCTTTTTAAGGATCTCTCCAATCGCCTCCATGACAGCTTTTCGTTTCATACTGACCCCATTCTGTGACGTGGGGATCTCTTTATTCAGTCGGCGTAGCTCCTCCCACTCAGACTGACTCAGTGAGAGTTTGTTACTACCTCCTACTCCACTGGTTTTCGACGGACGAGAACCAGTAGACCTCCTCACGGCTTTTTTAATCGGCCGTGAAGAAGAGGAATGAGAGAGACAGGGAGGGGATGAAGTGTTGACAAGAGGAGAGGTTGAGTACCCTGAGGGAGGGAGAGAAGAGCTAGGAGGAGGAGGAGGAGGAGGAGGAAGGAGAGAGGACGAGGAGTGATCAATCATGTCCCTCCCTCTGTGTCTCTTGGTGGGCAGAGCTGATGCTTCATGTATCAATAGATCAGCTGGAGACAGAGACTTTCCCAGTGTCTGTGTAGAAGAACCTCCATCATCACTAGGGGCAGGGGCACCAACCGGTACTATACTCCTAACGGTGGGTACCACGGCACATGGAGGAGTGACAGTGGGGGATACAGAGGGACATGAGGTTGTTGAGCTCCAGTGAGGGTTGGAGTTTAATGGTGAAGTAGGACTGAGATCAGAGGAAGAGGAGGATGGGGAAGGATTAGAGCAGCAGGTCTGTTGGGGTGAGTGTGTTCTAGCACTGCCTGAAGAGGATTTCCTTTTCTTGTGTTCAGGTTGGGAGGGCTCGACGTCAACCTCCTCTACTTTGGCACGATTCAAGTTTACGACAACTACTGATTCACCTAATCTAATGGCAACTGAGAGAGGAGCCTTGCCAGCTAGGAAATCATCAATCTGAAAGAGAGAGAGAGAGAGAGGGAGAGAGAGAGAGAGAGAAGGTTAATATTAAATTATTAGTACTATAGCATTTCACTCAGTAAACTATACATGTACATACACAAATATTCAATTTGTCTTGTTATGCTACACCACCTAATGGTAGCCATGGCAATACATGCACTGGTAACCATAGCAACACATGTACAGGAATGTAATCAAAACACATGAGAAGGTTAGAGAGGGAGGGATGAGAGAAGAGAGAAACCACAAATATCAAAGTGTTGTTAGTGTCTCGGATAACAATTCACATAGGCCAAGGTATGTTCATGTTTATCCAACACTTGTTTCATTTAGGGAGTAATTCATGATAGACTAAATTACAACTATTGACCTACACAGAATCAATCATCATCAACCAATATACTACACAGTAATTTCAGTCACGCACAATATTAAATGCCAGCATACATGTACATGTACATCACTCATAAGTAGGGGTATTTTTACTATAGAGATTCACTAATCACTACTAGTAACCACTTACCAAACAACATATGCTATACAGGAAATACACATTAGCATACAATGTACAACATATAGTACAGTACATGATACAACAATAATATAAATACAATATTATATGTACAGTATAATTATATGGACACAGTATACAGTGCTATAATGATCCAATACACTATGTACATGTATATGCACAGTATAATAATTCAAATACAGTATGTATGTACAGTATACTGATCCAATACAGTATATATAGTATGTGTATGTGCATACACATTGTACATGTACAGTATAGCTCATTGGGGTGTTCAATGATTCATTGACAAGCCATGATCACTTGTTTACACAGTAACATGAATGATGTGTATAAAGTGAGAAACTGTTGTAGGCACACACGGATTCTTACACTAGGGAATGATATAATACAATTACAACAATATGAACGTCACATGAGACCCACTAGTGTATTAGGCTGTACGCCAACCACAGTAATGTACTGTGTGTATTAGTGATTGAGCCAGTCATTCAAGGAATTTGATGACATATATACAGGTTGTCATGTAGCTCGTGTAATTGTATCACTCCTCATGTTCACAGAGGAATAATCTAATAACACTTTGGTAGATTGGTCACATACCCAATGGACTAGTATCACATGATGTAATGCACTAAGAAGATAAGGAGAGAGAGAGGGTTGAGGTGAAGGTTTGATGATAAGATTGAAGGTGAGAGAGAGAGAGGGGGCAGGGGAAGTACAGTACATGTATGTGGATGATTTAATGAGACATAATGTACAAGGAATCCCATTATAATAGTCTAGCATCATTCTCATTTACATTAATATCCTGTCTGAAAGTGTATGCACTTTGTACACATTAAAGACACTTATAGCTCTTTCCTTTTCCTTCTCTCCCTCTCTTATTCTCTTTACAGACATTATGTCACCAACCATAATCAATGAGCTATACATGTACATGTACATGTACATGCATTTATTCTATTTTTATAATGCACTTACAAGTATTCCCTAACTCCCCCACTCTCTGCTTAAAATTTCTATGTACATGTACATGTACATGATGTCTTTCTATTTCACTATACTCTTTTTACAATAAGATGCTCAATCAATATATCTATATCTTAGTGACAGTTAGTGATTGTGACTAGAGATAAAGGGACTCGTGAGTGCAGCTCATTCCGTGGCCATTAGGCCTAGACTAGTCATCTTATTGATGGATAGACACTGCTTTGCTAATCAAATATGATTGCTATTGAGAAACAACTCGCAACTGTAAATATTTTGAAGATTTTGAAGGAAGAGTGGGATAGGAGAGAGAGAGAGAGAAAGAGTTACTGGCCATGAACTAAATAGGCTATTCACTATAGTCTTTAATTTTGGGTAAAAAGCTTCAAATCAATCTCCAGGTACAGTAGCTAGTCCAGCCAGTTCAATTGTCACAAAAATTAACTTTAAGCTGGTGACTTTTTTTGTAGAGTTACTCTATATGTATGTTATACATTTGTAAATGGCCACGGACTAAGATAGGCTAAACTGAACAATTTTGGGCAAAATGCTTAATACTAATCTACAGTAGGTTATTAGCTTTAGCCCAGTTTAGTTGTGGATGGTGTGAACAGGGTATAACATAATCCACCCTCTCTCTCATTTAAAGGGGATTTTCTCTCTCTTTAAAAAGACTAGAGTCTGATATAAAGGGAGGGATTGGGCCTGTGGGTGTAGCTGGTAACAGAAGGCGTTGTTATGTATCGCTACATAATCCTAGCCCACCACATCAAGGGAAGAAGCAATGTATTATATCAAATACAACATTATACCAAAAATGATACGACTAATTCATGACAAATTACAACACAATAGAGTCACGTCCTGTAGCTCTGTGTGTGTGTGTGTGTGTGTGTGTGTGTGTGTGTGTGTGTGTGTGTGTGTGTGTGTGTGTGGGTATGTGTGTGTCACTTAAAATATATACACAATCAGAATCACTACAATCGAATGCTTGTCAGTATAACATCATCGTATTTTAGAGAGGATTCCCCTTTGCATTATTAATACATACTGCCCATATACTTATATAGTAGTATCAGACAATACACATACCAAGGTTATTATTAATAAGCAAAGTAAAAATAATATAACGACATTAGTCCATACATTATGCTTTACAGTGTGTACTAATTCTTCCTTCTGGTAATTGGCTCAAAGGTATAATAATAAAAACAAACACTGTACCCTCCATATTCCTCCCCATTTGTGTGTGTATACATTTCTACAACTGCTTGCATTCCAGTGAACGTATAACTTTATTGGGGCTTGTAAATTTATTTTTATTATTTTTAATTTTTGAATCATCAAAGGGTCTACATCTCTCTGTCCTACCTTGACCTAGCTCAGTTATTAGATATACGTTTTTATTTATTTTTATTTTCTTAAATTCAAATTTCATTTCCCTCCCTCACTCCCCCTCTTAGTAGTACATGAAGGCTATTATTTCCGATGCATGTGTACACGAGGCAGTTATCCTATCTCTGTGTCACTTTAAAAACAGTATACAACATAGCAAGGTTACAAATTAAATATTTTGTAAAAGTTTTTCTTACAGTACATGTACAGCATAAAAGTATATGTACATGTACATGTACATACCAGTACAGTATAATTATACTAACATGAAATATTGGTGCTAATCACACAATTACTATAGCAAATAATTTCTTTCTTTACCTGTTGATCTGATACATTGCTCATGCTGTGCTTCATCATTGATACAGGGTCCATTGAGAGCGGGGTCTAATGAAGAATACCAAATTTAACACATGCTCAAGAACCCTTGAGACGGAGACTCACATTTACTCCGGACTCTACGCACGGGACTAGCTTTATCTCGCTTCCGTCTTGTATGCCGTTTTGGTTTAGTGTACCATTCTTTAATTCACTAGAGAGAGAAGAGAGAAAAAGTAAGTACATGTATATGTACATGCATATCTATACATATTTATTATAGATTAGATATAGATGTAGAAAGAAGGGTATTGTTCAATGAGAAAGATGGAAAGTGAGAAACATAAGATATAGAAACAATGATGCCAAACAAATGACAATTGATACTGATAAGTCATGACAAGATAATGATGAAGAGAAAGAGAAAGTTGTCATGAATGGACAGACACACAGCCACTCTCTAATGTCATTATCAGACACTGTACAATCATTCTTGGAAACTGAATGATGTCAGACTTATACTGTGGAGCAACACGTATCAGTCAGGGAGAGGCACAAAGAAAATATCCAATTGAACTCTGCCACAATTACACAACAGTGCCTGATAGTGGATTCAATGCTAAATAGAAACACATGCAGTTTCAATACACTGGAATCACTTCAAACTATAGGGCCACACTACATGTCCTCAGTACAGAAGCACTTTGTATAGATTAGTACTAATATAGGCATGGCAAATGGTCATGTTTACAGAACTGTCCTTATCTCAGGTTGTCCTTGCTGTTATAAATTAAATACTAAAGGTTAACTTATATTTATTAAGACCTACATGTAACACATTTGAACTACATATATGTACAATGTATTATTAAGCGGCTTAATTTCATCTAAACTCTTTTTGAACTTCATATTTATCGTTCTTTGAAACTTTGTGTGTTAAGTTGAAGGCATTTCCAGTGAGAATTGTAGGAGTGACAGCAAATCGTAAAGCTATTAATAAATACTCGACCCTACAAGTAAACCAATGATGCTCTGCTTCATATTTTTGCATTAACGGTATGCATAACAGAAACACCAGCACATTATTGGCCATGCATATGTACATGTACAAGCAATTGATTGTTTATGAATGTGTACATGTATGAACTGAGTGTCATGTCTGAACAAGATGTGACAATCAAATATCATGAATGCTAACACCATTATCATATGCCCACAGATAGGCTCAATGTAACCACAAACTACATGTATATAGAAACCACTACAATCCTAGACCATCACGTAGGCCTTCATGCCTTCATGCAGTCATTGCATTAGGCACTCATGCCATGAACACAATTTCCTGCTTCTACTGCCCTAGGGACAACAAATACACTAACCACAAATTCAACTTTAAAATACAAATAGTTTGTGGTAACATACTGTATGTACGTATATGTACATTACATGTATATGTATTAATGTAATGTATGTACATAGATTGTATGTATCATGTTTATGAGAATTTGGAGTGATCTAGTAACCAAAGTAATCAAATATTGATATGCATAATGTGGGAGGCAGCCAAAGTGACTGTTTGGAGTAATTGGGGGAGAGATGATTGATAAGAGAGAGAGAGGGAGGGGGAGAGAGAGAGGGAGAGAGAGAGAGAGAGAGAGAGAGAGAGAGAGAGAGAGAGGGAGGGAGAGGTATAGTAGAGAAAGGATGATTCAAGTGAAGAAGATATAGAAGGAAAGAAGACAAGTAGAGAGAGAGAGGAAATTAAAGAAGAGCTAGAGCCAGTGACAGAAAGTGGCAGCCCAAAACTAACAGGCAGACATAAATGCCAAGCACAAAAGTTCACAAATAAGGACAGTGTCCCCATAGCAACGGAGGCCAACATAAACAGGAAGCACCTCAATAAGGGAAAAAGTAAAAGGAATTTTAGGAGAGCATTCCACTAATTAGTAGCATTGACGCCAAGCAAGTAAGGATGAGTGTGTATACGTCTGTGTATATACACATTGCTTATATGTCGAAGGTGCATGAGACATTAGTGTTTAATGTCCATGCGTCCATGTACATACATGTACATGTACTGTATCTTAATATGTACTGATACACATGCAGGCATGCATGAGATCTGTTGTACTGTTGAGTGTACACATGATGGAGTATAGTGTCTAGTGTGAAGGTAGAATACTTGAGGAGTTTAGTAAACATAGGACTATACATGTATAATTAGTAAATACATGGAGTGCATTAGTTATAATGTGAGTTCATCAGTATCAATGTATTACACATGTATAGACAGCTAATTTTACATACATACATGATGTGATGTACATGTAAAGTTGCTGCTTTGAACTGAATGATCTTATAATGATTATCTACACGTTAAGTCAGTCTTTATAAAAAGATGAAATAGTTATCATTGGACAGTGATCCGACACACTACACAAACACAAGCCTCATATCATACATAATTATATACATGTACATGTACATCATAATACATATCATAATACTTGTAAGGCAGTGACTCACACACCCACTCGTATACAGGGCACCTCCTGTACGCTCCAATACATACTATACATAGCAAGGAATTACTTAACTCCATTACACAAAGCACTCATAAATTAGACCACTACAAACACTAACATCTGCCAGCCACCGACATGAAACTAGCCAGCATGCATACTTAGTAGCCTGACTCTATTAGCCAAAATATTAATGTCAGTATAAGATACGCCGTGATATAGGTCAGGTATGTATGTACAGTGTATGTCACCAGCTGTGGTCTCATATCTAGTTGATTGTCTGTCCCGTACTTAATGTAGTGATGCGCTAACATCCTTTCTGTCATTATGAGGCAGTGAGGGTCATATGACATTATTAAATAAGTGAGAGAGATTGAGGGTGGTCAGTGACCAAGACCAACAAGAAAGTATAGAAAGAGAAACATGCTCAAAGTTAACAGCCAAATAGAAGGCAAGCAAAGCTAGTACATATACAAAGGCACATGCAATAACTACTAAGGGACACTTTGAAAGTGTGTTGGGAGCCAGTTGCCATATCTTGTCCAAGTAAAAAACACACAGCCTACCACTAACAAAAGCTAATCAGCAATTACGAGTACAAAAAGGACTAACAGTGTAAACACTGTATACCATTCCTATATCACATTCAAAACCATCCACCCACAAACAGAGGGAGGAAAGGAGAGAGGGAGGAAAGGAGAGAGGGAGGGAGGGAGAGAGGGGAGGGTGAGAGGGGAGGGAGAGAGGGATGGAGGGTGAGAGGAGAGGGAGGGAGAGAGAGGGAGGGAGAGAGGGAGGGAGGGAGAGAGAGGGAGGGAGAGAGAGGGAGGAAAGGAGAGAGAGAGAGAGAGAGGGAGGGAGGGAGAGAGAGGGGGAAGGAAGGGCAGAAAGAGAGAGAGAGAGAGAGAGGGAGGAATCAGAATTGGAAGGAGGAAAAAGAAACCGTTGGGTAGGTACTGTAGATAACATTAAGATAGACGTGTCAATCGTAAACTCAAAACAACTTGACCACAACACAAGCCACAGTCCAATCATTCAAACTCAATCAGATACCATCTAGTGTCATTAGCACTTTCAATCTAATACATTTATAAACCGGCACACTTTATACATACAAATACATGAAGGAAGAGTCACACACGGGCAGGCATACACACACGCACGCACACACACAAAACTCTTACAAATCCGTCTGCTATACATGTACGTCCTTGGCTTATATCTATTATTTCTCTCACTCGTTTCATGTGAATAGAGAGCTCGAAAGCCAAACCAAAACACCACAAAACTACAAAGTTAAAGTTCTCCTTGTGTACAAAATAGAGAGACACAATTATGTGAAAGGCCCAGTGAACTTGGCTCGCAATATAATAATAAAATATCACACCAGAAGACACATTACACTAATTACAGCATCGAGGAATAGAGTGTGGGTAGGATATATGGGGAAGACTAGAGACAAAGAAGCAGGAGTACATATATGGAGAAAGACAATAGGCTTTACCAAACAATCACACAACTACACACAAACTGTCAAACAGCTACTATAAAATGCAGTACACTTACTCATGCTGTGCAAGCACAATGTCTACTACTGCTAGTACATGGACTGTGTGCGTGGCCATATGGCTAAGAAACTCGTATTGTTGTCCCACTCAAACCAACCACAACTATCCTGTCCCTAAACAGTGATGCATTCCCTTGTACTCTACTAATAAACTCGACTGATTGATTTGTACACAAAGAGAAAGAGAGAGAGAGAGAGAGAGGGGGGGGACGGAGAGTTGCTTTGACTAATGCTATAATCCTGACAGCATATCCATAGTAATAACACCATTTAAATAGATACAAATACTAAAGGGAGTCAAAGTGGAGGAGGAGAAGGAAGGCATAATACAATTCATTAGTTGGAGTTCTTTTAAGGCAATTATAGTAAGAAATCAAGCTTTGTGTGTATTTGTGGGAACACTATCTACATCAATAAGCTAATCAATTGGAGATTGGTCCACCTTGAAGTACAGAGATTATACACAGGCTATGGATCTTTGTGGTTATTATAGAAAACAGACTCTACAACAACAAGGTCTAATAATCTATTGGGCACTGGGTGGATGAATTGGCAATTATCTGTGTGTGTGTGTGTGTGTCTTATTGCGTGTATAAGCTGTTGCTAGTTTTAAACATTGACTATGTGTGTGTGCTTGAGTTTAGGCAACCTATAGATGATTTAAAAGTCCATCTTGTACGGACTGATAGTAAGTCATGTCCTTCATGCATGCATGGATTAAGTGTTAAAAGAGATCACTCGTGGCGTTACCCTTTACACTATTGCTGTCATGTTCCACTCCCTACTTGCTATCACTATATCATGTGATCTGCTACTGCATTCGAATGTTTGTCTGTGAATGCTTTTTATACATTAGTGCTATATCAATCATATGACTCTCTCACTGAGTGGCAGATTTCAATTAGAAAGTCACATGCAGGTAGAACTAAAGAGAGCTTTTATGAGAGTTGAATGATGATTAATGCTAGTCAGACAAAGAACACACAAAATGGGACAAAGTGTGGGTTGTTGGAGGTAACAGTGTGGGCTATGTGAGGGGGTATATATCATAGGGTGAATGGAGATACTGTATTGAGATAAAGAGCATGGGAGCATGATAAACCAACACAATCTCTCATTGATAGGGAAACCAATAATGGGGAGAAAGCCAGAAAGGAAGAGAGAGGGAGGGAAAAAACAAGGAAAGAAAGAGAGGGAAGAGAGAGAGAGAGAGAGCCACTGTAGAGAGAGCATTATACAAGAGAGAGGGGGAGAGGTGCAAGGTAAAAGGGAGAATCACTCACAACACAGTTTAAGAAGGAAAATGAGAGAGGGGAAAGGAGGAAAGAGATAGACTGTTTCTTAACTCACGTGGATTTGCACAGCAAAGACATTTTTCTAGGTGAGATGCCCAATTTGTCACTAATGTCCTCCTTGAATTTCTCCACTGTGAGATAAGGTGAACAGCTAATGCTAAAGGAGCCTCCCAGTGTTGGATGAACGGAGACAGTGATGAGTCTTTTCCTACTAGGCTGGCTTTGCTTGTTGCTGCTGCTGTTGTTGCAATGAGAACCGCCAGTCTCTTGTGCAGCGGCCATGGTCCTGGTGTCTTTTTTTGTAGAGGGATGGAATGATTTGCGCGAATGTAGGGAAGAAGCGAAAGTAGCTACTCCGGGAAACAAAGAGAAGCAGAAAAGTGATGTGGAACTGTAACTAGGTGTAGTAGAGGGTGAGGGATGGAGGGAGCTGTCTTCTTTCTTGTGTCACACAAAAGGGAGAGACAGAGAAAGAGAGAAGAGAGAGGAGTGCCTGACTGGCCGCAGAATCACGTTGTGTAGTCTTATCTCCAACTACCCCGGGTCACATACACACAGGAATGATGACACACTAGTAGAGATACAACAATGGGCTTCAGTATACACACACACACACACCCTCCGCACTTAATAGCACTGAAGAAAAAGGGAAGGAGGAAACAGGCTTGCCAAGCTTTTGCAAAAACTTGTCGCCTTTCAATTATGCCGAGCCACGCCCATGTGTTAATTAGACACCTCCAGCCTTTTTTCAACATCAAAACCTCAGTTTTCTCTATTTTATGTGATTTTTACTTGCAAAATTATTATCTATAGTTTCTTTAATTTTTATGCTTCAGTACTTGAATGCATTTTTGCTTCAAGAAAGGGAAAAATAGCGACATGATAGATCTGCATAGTTTGGGTGTGGCTGGGTAGATGCAGAATTTGCAAGGGCGTGGCTCAATGTTTTGTAAATCAATATCTATGATCTGTATGTTATGAATGCACCCTCTATCAAATGTTATGCGTTTGTGTATAACATAAAACCATACTCAAGTGTATTGAGGTTGTGTCTATGATGAATATTTATTTTCTCAGGGCTGCATGGGTGGAACACATTAATTATCTCCAGTGGGGCTTCATTGTTATAACATTAATAAGAACAGTTGGTGGTGTGGGCTGATTTGCAGTCAATTTGGCTGATAGAAAATTTGTTTAACCTCTCCCTGATTTCTCTCCCAAAAAGGATGTTGTACAGCACACATATCAGAGCCACAAATTATACACAATATTTTTGATAGGCTAAGTTGCAATCCAAATTCCAAAACCTCTAAAGCAAACTGATATCAGACTGGTGGTTGGTTATACTGAATGCTTTCAACTTCTTCTTCTAACCTTATTTTACTACATGACCTGGAAATGCCACTCAGACAGAGCAGCCATACGTACATAAACACTTAAGCCATTTAAAGATATTATTTTTATGCTGATTTCCTGTGTCGAACATGAACAAGCTTGCTAAGCAAAAATCCTTGCTGCAATATCAATAAGAGCTGCTAAAATGATGGATTTTCACCAACTACCTTGCTCACAAATAAAGTATGTGAATTTGTGTAGCTGTCAAGCCAGTGATGTTGCTTTGGGCGGATACCCAGTAATTTGAAAAGGGCGGGTTTGGAGCAAACCACGTGGCCACATAGTGTTACCATCAGGCCGTTGCCAGGGAAACACCCTATTTAGGCGGACCTTGTGTGTTGCTTTTGGCTGCTGTGTAAGCTGTAGTGGTGGTGAGTTCAAAAGTTGCCTAAGTGGCATCATTGTTATGGGTGCTGTTTTTCTAAAGAGATAACAAGAGAAGAGTTCGCTACAGAACGGACGACTGTGCGACCCTCCCACGTCCACACTCTCCAATTATGAGTAACAGGTGAGGGGAGTTAATATTCTATTTAACGCCCCACTCGTCCCCCTGATCTTCCCAGGGAGCAAGATTTTAAAGACATATGGTCAATCATAGAAGAAGAGAAATTGAAGGCTATCGAAGACAAGAGTAAGCAAATACAGTGACTTGATGATAACAAAGCATAATAATAATAATTGATAATTGATAATAATTATGGTGATTATTATGAATTGTGGGTGTAATTATGTATGTAGGCGATGAAACTAAAAGTCAGGAAACGAATGTATTTTTTATCGGATGCAAAAATTCCGTAAGTCCATCCTAGACTTGACATAATGTACTATGTAAACAAACTTGTTTGATATTAATTTATTCTCTTTCACTTTTTCTTCTCCATCTTGCTTCCTCCCTCTCTCTCCTTCTCATTTTTCTTTCACGATTTCTATCCCACCCTCTCCCTCTCTCTATTTCTTAATTCCTATACGTGTATTCCGTCAATACCTTTCTCCACTCCTTCCTATATCAGGGAAAGACGACACTTATTCTTAAATTCTTGGAGAGAGAGGAAACCCCCAAGCCCACCACTGGATTGGAGTACACATATGGACGCAGAACAAGAGGAATGAATCTGGTAGGATATACACATCATTCACAAAGATTAATAATAGTCTGTGCATGTAATTGATACATAGAGAAGCCTTCAATTTATGTACATGTACATTATACATGTATTTAAACTTTCAACACATTTTCCCACTAATTCCAACTTTCTGTAAAGGTCTGTGGTTACTAATTAATGTTGACATACATATTAGATTTGAAATGGTTGCATGCATATATTGCTTCAAGCAATAACATATGAAAGTCCTACAACTGAATGATATAATACTGTAGCACGTAGTAATAATGATGAATTGTATAAATGTATAGGCTAAAGACGTGGCTCACTTATGGGAGTTAGGTGGGGGAACATTTCTCTCTCAATTACTGAATATACCACTCACAACTGATACTATCAGGTTAGCGTATAATAGTACATTTACACAGTATCAAGTATACTCGAATCTAAGGATATACTCTCTTGATAAGAGAGATCGAGTGAGAGAAGAGAATGAAGGGAGGGACTCGTATAGTATGACATTCATCGTGCTTAATAGACCGTGGCATGATGTAGTTTTAGTGTTTAGTTATGAATGAGAAAATATGCACATGTGTATACAGTACACATTTAACTGAATCTAGTCAATCTACTATCCTTGACCAATTTAGGCATAATATTTTGATTGGAAATTTGATTGTCCTATATATTTTATTATATACCTACTCGCCAGTCCTAATGGATACACCTACATGTACATGTACATGTATACTAGTTGTTGTATATTACCTGTATATGCACTATTATACAGAATAATACTGGAGCTGATTTATGTATGTATTAATGTACATGTACATGTATGTACATATATTTTAAATTAAAATCCAGTCATGTGAAATGTACATGTATAATATGTGAACTAAATTAGATATTTCAATGCATATATATGCCCGTGTATAGTAGATCTATTCTCTCATACAATAAGGTGTTGACAGATTCTAGATTACATGATTATCTCTAGAGAGCATATGTCAGCTAGTGTATCTATTTTGTGTGTCCTTTTGAGCAGTGTTACTTTTATTAAGGTCTAATGCATGCGTTATCAACAGTGACAAGTACTGTTATCAAGTGACCATAGTACAGAGTGATTATAGTCAGTGCCTCTCTGTCTATCCCCTCTCTCCCTATCTCTCTCTCTTAGCCTATCTCATTGCTGAGGACAGCTTCTTCTTATCTTGCCCTTGCTTGCCAGTTATTGTTAGCTGACCAACACTAATGGGTTGGTTTGTGTAGGACCATTATGTCATGCCAGATACACATTGATGAGCATTGATATTATGATAATGATACAGACTGTGAATTACCCAAGTATGAATATTCAATATTATTATATTAAAATCCATTTTTATCTTAAACTGTAGTATATCTTATAGTGAAACCTTTATTATAGTATGGATAGCTTAAAGGCCATGATTATATAATCCCTCATAATGTTTTCTCTAAATCCTGACCGATCTATAAACTGCAACTAAGCAACATAATAACATCACAAGTCATGTACATGTACATTGCAGTACATACTTGTACAGATGCCCCTAATTACCATATTGGTCAAATAACTTAGATCATAATCCACTTATATTATCATTTTGTAATACAGTGTACATACAATTTATGCATGAGCCCAGTATTAGTATATTTAACATATAATAGCTTGTATAGAGGCTTCATTGTGTTCCCAGATGTTATATACAGATGCTTTTGTATGTGCAGATGCTGTGTGTGCGGTGATGCACTAGAGCAAGGTTGAGGTTTTGTTGTGTGTGTCCACTATACACACATACATGCATGCATATTCAATTAAGAATAAAATACAATCTGGTACTCCTCCTTATAAAGTATCACCCAATGAAAGGTATTCTTATATTACTCCATAAGGGGCCGAGTACTTAATACTTACATGTGTAATGTGGTTGCTGTTATTATGTCAGGCTTTATAAAGAGGTGACCTTATTGTTTGAATTATACAATATGTCTTAATGCCTTGTAGTAGTCATTCATGGCATTGAGTGTCACAGCTATAGGGGATTGTCAGTTTGTGTAATCCAATGCAATGATGCTATTTGTTATGATTGCTAGTGTAATAGTACTACCCACAGGACACCTTTTGAAATCAAGAGAATTCATGGCATGTCCTTTTTCAACCAAATCCACTTTAGTAATAACACGTCATGCAGTATCATGTGAGTGAGTCTATAGTTACATTATAGGGCTGTGGTGTACTGATGATCAAAGGAGCTAAACCTTATACTTTAATTACTTTTGAACTTGAGAATGCAACAGTTATACCTTTTGTGTTCCGAGGAATGCGTCTGGTATACATCATCAATCAGTTGTACACTATAGGCTGGAGGAGGAGGCGGGGAGGAGCATAATCTTGGGATGAATTCCCCAGGTGTCCCACTAAATAATGCATGCACACGTGTGTGTGTGTGTGTGTGTTTGTATACATGTATATGTACATGCATGTAGTACATATCTAAGAGTTCAATCAGTTGAACCCTAGCTCTTACCTAATGGTTAATAAATTATAATAATACTGCAGTATGTGCATGTACTATATACAGTAGCTCCACTATGACCTTTGCTACACGTAGCTCTCTCCCACACTATAATATATTAAATACTGTAGCTGTAGCTCATATACAATCACCTTTGCCTAATAAAACACATGTACATGTACATACGTATGACATGACATACATATCATGAGGCTCTTATATTTTGTTACATGTACATACATGTATATACATGTACTGGCGTATATGCTTGACTGTACTGTACATTTACTTGTACATGTATGTCCATGAGTGTGTGCAGGTGCAAGTTGATAGTAAAATTAACTATAATTTTATTAGTAAAGTAAATTAATGTATAAACATTGTACTGATAAAAATTTGCACAGTACAGTAGCAAATAATACACTACACAGTGTATGTACAGTGGATTCCTCCATGGATTATATTGTGAATGCATGACTAATTACTGTCTCTTGGCTGTTTCCTGCTAGCTTGTATTACCTAACCAGTTTGTATTACAATCCACTCCTATACTGTATACAGTTTGTCATCAGTATATAGCTTAGTTTACATTAGGTTCCGAATCATGATTAAATTCAATATGTACATCTACAATGTACATCCTACATTACTTAATTTCATCATCGATCGTTTATATTGCTGTGTTGTTGTTTTTGTTGTTGTACTACATGTACATGTACATGTAAAAGGAAATTTTGGCGAAACATGTATATACATGTAAGCTACGATTTGGCAATTTTCAAAGTTAAACCTCACCAAAATTGCTGCCAATATTAGTTGTCACATGGAAAGAGATGAAATTGTCTGCCAACCTAGTGTACATGTATGTGTACATGCAGTATGTAACCATTTTCGCCAAAACTTCTTGTCGCCAAAAATTTCCCTCTTTTGTTGCACTGATGATATACATTGATGAGAGATATGTACACTGTACAGTGACTTCACTTGTATCTTCACTCCTGTCTCTTCCTTCATATACATCTCCTGCCAATTTTTTACCCGTTCTTGGAATTCATTCATGCACATATCAATCATTATTTGACATGTCATGTACACGTACATGCATATCCTGAATTTACTCAATCCGATGGATGTACTTGAACATGCATCTATAATGATTACACATTTCATGAGCTGGTCTACTTTATACTTGTATTAATTAATGTTGTAGTATTGTAAACTAATGAAATTATTGTATACATGTACTATACTGTATAAATACAATGTACATGTATTATTATCATTATCACTACTTTTATTTATACTTATAGTATGTACATGTATGTGTACATTCCATTGTAGATGCTGGTATTTCTTTCAGTGCATATTATATACAATTTAGATTGTGTGTATTTGAGCATATCCCAAAGCTTAGAGTGTACATATGCATTCTAACCACAGCAATGTACAGCTTGTCCTTTACTGTCCTCCCTCTCCTTCTTATGCTAGCTGTTACTGCCTGTGTTAGGATACTCTTACTACGTGTGTGTGTTTAGTAGTGTAGGGCAGAGCTAACTGTCACTATATCGTTTGTGTCTGTCGCTGTTTATTAGGTAACTGATATGCTTATTGCATCTGTTGGTGTCTCCCTTTGTAGTGGCCTAGCTATTACTTCTAATTGAGTGGATTTGTGTGTTTGCGTGCTTCTGTAGGTCTCATTCAATTGTACCAGTCATCATTATTAGAGTTGTACTCATATGCATGCTTTAATTACTATACATTGTTTCTATCTCTTAGTACATGTACATGTGTACATGTATTTCTCTATTTTAGATCTCTTTAAAATCTCTGCCAGCTACATGTACATGTACATTGCTGTATATATAATCCTTGATAATGTACATGTACATGCGTGTACATGTACAATTTCACACATGCATATGCCTGATACATGTAGGACTTACTTTTCTCTTTTTAATTCATTCTCTCTCTATATATTTCCTTAATAATACTCGTGTACTTCCTCTCCCCACTTCCCATCTATATCTTTTCTCTTCCTTTTTTCATACTGCTTCTTCTCCCCTTCCTTTCACTATTAAAAGTTTGTGGGTACTATCTAGTGTACCCATAGTACATGTACATGTGTGCATGTATATTATTATTATAATTATTATTATATTTGTTGGTCCTGGTGGTGGTTACTGTGTAGTAAGACATGAGTCTCTCTCTTTCTCTCTCCTACACACCACATTGTATCATCATCCTAATTATGTTTGGTCTTGTATTTCTCTATTAACCCTTTCCTCCTTTTATTATAGTACAATCACTACAATGTACATGTACAGTAAATGTAGTAATTTTATATAAAATTAATCCTTCCTCCTTTTTATATTTGTACAATTCCTTTATAATGTATTTTCTTCTCTTAATTTGTACTTATAGTAATTCTTCGGTATTAATTATCCTTGATCTATCGAAGCCTGATGAGTTATGGGATGTAATGGAGTCTCTTATTAATGAGGTATGCTATACTATGACTGCGTAGTGTAGTACGTACGGTATACATGTACATACATGTATACATGTACATGTGATTATTATTAATCATAATGAGGAGCAGAGGAGAGTTTGAAGGCAATTTAGTGCTTGTCTAATAGCTGCATGAACTACATGTACATGCATGTATGAAGTTATAATAAATATACAGTTATATGAGGGCTGGGAGGCAGGGATACATTTTTGTCATTCATGGTAATCCCATCATTATTGTCTTGATTCATTACATCAGCTTTAAGGAATGGACTGCTACATTTGTAGGTTCATTGATGTAAGACACACACACTGTACATGTACATGCATGTACATGTACTATCTGAATTCCTTTGTGTGTGTGTGTGTGTGTGTGTGTGTGTGTGTGTGTGTGTGTGTGTGTGTGTGTGTGTGTGTGTGTGTGTGTGTGTGTGTCAGTTGTGCATCAATTTAATTCATTACACATGTACATGTAGTATGGTCCAGTTCTTAATTTGTAGTACGTACGGAACACATGATAAAGATAGGCTGCACTAATGTGTAGGTGATTGATAATGTCATTTACTTTAATCATATTACACTTCTCAGTTTGTGGGTACATTGTGTGTGTGTGTATAATGCCCTCTAATGTACAATACAGTATGTAATTGGATTTGTACATGTACATGTGTGTACATATGTAATGAAAATGTGTACTCAATTTTTGTACATGCACATACATGTATGTATTGCTTTTTTTTTGACTTGCCACATACATGCATGTACATGTACATGTATTTTGTTTGTTTTTCTCTCATTCATTAGTTGAGGTCAAGGATCAAATCTATAGTCTCGGACCTTAGATCAACTAACCCTGCTATTGTTACTGACCTCAGACGAAAGGCAAAGGAAAAACACGGAGCAGGACATCCCGTGAGTCATTTAGGGGTGTGGCTCGATAATTAATGGGTGTGGTTTGGATTTTTATTATAGGATGAGCCGGTTCTAACTCCACTGCCTATTCCAGTGGCTTTCATCGGGACCAAGTATGACGTGTTTCAGGATTTTGATCCGGAGAAGAAGAAAATAATCAGTAGGACACTAAGATTTGTTGCACACAAGTATGGGGCCTCTCTTTATGTAAGTGAATGAATGAGCCTCTGATTGATTGAAGAGTACATGTACATGTACAGTACATGTTGGTACAGGTGTATTTATTAATGTGTGATAGTGACTGGGTGATGTACATGTACATGTATTTACAGTAAACTTACATGTACTGTACATGTACGCTAGTTAATGTACATGTACATGTACATTAAGTTGAAGTCATCTTGCAATATTTCATGTTTGTGGCACATGTTACATGTATATGTGGATTTTTATTTATACATGTACATTGTTTTTTTGTGGATTTTTATTCTCATCACTATACTCCAATGCAACTCCATACATGAATGTTTAGTTGGTTTTACAGGTCTGCTGAAAATGATACATGTACATGTACATGTATGTACATATATTTGGGCATCAGTCAATCAATCTTCATTTTATTGCCTTATATACATGTACATGTACATGTACGTCTAATGATTGAATGACTAAGTCATGCTGATAGGAATGTACATTTCTTGATGATACGTGATCCATTTATGGTCAATGCTTTAATGATACTTATTACACTTGAACTGGAGTCACATTGATACTGTATATGTACACTCAATTCCAGTGTCAGTTTGTCACTGTAACTACTTATGTAACGTACCATTGACAAATTAAAATAACTTTGTGCATACATGTACATGTATGTGCAGAAATTGTCATTAATATACAATGTATAGCCATTGTGTCATAATTTAGAAAAATCATAAATATAAAAATAGTCAATTATTCGTAAAGTAATAATAAACATGCGTACATGTACATTCAAATCATGTTCAGACAAAATCTGAACATTGTTTAATTTGATCTACCATTATGAAATGGTTGGACAGGGTTTTTCACAGGATTTTTGGCATAGTCCTAGTGCAACTTCTTGTCAGTGGATTACCTGTTGAAAAGAAATAGTACAAAACATACTTGTCTTGTAAATTTCATAAAATTTACATGAATTTGCTTCACAATAATTAATACATGGTACATGTACATGTATGTTTCATGTAATATTATGACCATTAGGACTACTGTTTCATGCAATATGTCATGTTACATATATGTCTTGATTCAAGAAACGGGATTCATTTTACATATGTCTCTAATTCATGTTTCATGTATGTTTCATGTTTTATGGTATGTTTCATGATTTGTGGTACATGTATCTTTCATATGTTTCATCCTCTTTAGCCCAAAATGCATGTTTCAGATATTCATTTAAAAAATAAGAATGACATTACGTACATGTACATGTACATGCATACATGTACATGTACATGTATGCCAAACAGTAAGCCATGCTTATGGAGGGCCCAAGTAATGATGAAAGGTACATCTCCTTTTGTCCAAACAACACTATTGTTCTCCTTAGTTATTTTTATTATACCATAGGAAGAGATATATGTGTTAAGGCGGATTTACAATATTACGATAGGCTTGATGCTATGTTGAAGCTGGAATAGGATTTGGTTCTATTCTAGTGGAAAGCATGTGTCAAAAGGTCAAATTGTCCACACTTTTGATTAAAAATTGACGATACGCTGGCTTAGTGTCATATTGTAAATCTGCCTTTAGACTCTACAAAAGATAAGCAGTGAACATACATGTACATGTACTTACTCATTAAGCTGCCTGGTATTGTATATAATGATTTTCCTTGAGAGGTTAGGAGTTAGTACCAGCCTAATGTTACCACCTTCAGCTAAGCCAGTGAGCCACCAAGCAGGCTAAGGCTAAGCACTCCTAGTGTGACAGCACTTTTAAAAATTGCTTTTAATAAATTTATTTCAAAATTACATGTTGTTTAGACAAAATGGTACACATAGAACCAAAAAAGTTCAGACAATTGAGCAATAATGGTCGGAAAATGTCCTGATACATGTACATGTATTTCCGAATGTCATTTCAGCCTGAATGTATAGTGATACAGCACATTCATTGTGTACATCTACATTAATTGTGTGGTCAGAATAATTGTACTACAGTCCATGTACAATTGTATGTGTGTAGTTTTAAATATCAATTAAGATAGAGTGATAGGACAGGATGTATACAGAAGCTATATACTCATTAATATAACCACATCATCCTCTTTTGAAATCACAAATGTATACATAATGTACATGTAATCACAAACTATAAATTATTATTTCAATATTCAATATTAATATTTTTACATGTAAATGTACATGTATATCCACAATGTACATGTATTAAATTTACCTGTTTATATCATAATGTGTATTTCCTCTTGTAGTATTTCAGTAATAAATCTGAGACTCTGGTGACAAGGTGCAGACAGGTCATAACACACTTTGCATTTAATGGACCATTAAAGTAACCAATACTACATGTACATGTACATGTACGTGCATGTACATACACATTCAGCTATTGTACGTGTAATATTTTATAATATTGAGTTAATTACTGTGAGGCTTTTGCACACAGCGAAACTTGTACATGTACATACACACATTAGGTATACATGTACATGTATAATATGCATGTACATGTACATTAATTGTGTATGCATGATTTATGGGTTCTCATTATACATGTACATGTATTCACTGTTTGCATGTGCAGTACATGTACATGTTTGTGAAGATTATATAATCACATGCATGCATATTATTAGTATCATGAATGCATGCATATTATGTACATTTCTAGTATATGTTCATGTAGCATAATCCTATTATTATTATTACTGGTACTCTATGTATTCTTGTTAGTGGTTAGTAGATAAGAGGTATATCATTACTGATGAGGTTACAGACCCTTGGCAGCACACACACAGTCACTATTGCATGATTCATATACACAATATAATGACAATATGCATATACTGTACATGTACAGTATCTCACTTACGAGCCATACATGTACCTTGTACATGTACATGTACATACATTTTTGTAAATTTAATGCACAGTATAAACATGCTTCGATCTGCTTGCATGTACATGTATGAGCCTATATACATGTACACGTGAGCTTCGTACATTCCAATACATGTACGTGTACATGCATGTACATGACACACATCATCACATCACACATCATCTCAGACACACATACATGTAACATGTATATGTATACTGTATATATGCATTTTTATTAATAGTTTAGTTTGTAACAGTGAAATAAAATTTACATGTACTAGTACTATTGCATCCTTATTGAAAGCATTGTTTGTAATTGAGCTAGAGGCTTTTCCATGTGAATGCATGTACAGTATGTGTATCTGCCTGTTCATGTACATTGATATTTGTTTTGAATTCAATTGTGGTTGTTTTTCCTTGTGGTACGTGTACATCATGTGCAGTCTTGTGGTTTTCAGTGTGAGTCACATGGTGCTCTTATTTCCTTATTTAGTCACTCATTTATTTTATTGAGTGTCTGTGTTACCTAATACCTACCTCTCCTTTTCATTTTATTGTACTGTATAGACTCTACAGTGTACATTACTGTAGATGTTTGATTCTTTTCCTTACCACTGACTTTCTGTTTCTCTCCTCCCTCTTTCTCTTTCTCCTCCTGTTTTTAATATTTCTCTCTCTCAATCCAGTCAGGCAGTATCAATGGATTACAATAAACCATTAATAGTTCCGGTTGGCTCTGATTCCATTGGACAGATAGGTCAGTATATGTACATGTACATGTACATGTTGTATGCGATTAATTATTTTGGTACACTATGGATGCAGTACAGAATCCATCAGATTTCCCACTAGATTTTGGCATAGTCCTCATGCAGTTGTTCGTGGATAGTCTGGTTGCTCAAAAATTGGGCCAAGGACCCTGTACTGTGGTACAGGGATTTTGGCCAATTTTTTTTTCAAAAATGCCTAGTAAAAATTCTCCATTTTTATATTTTGTCTGATGCATGTGTCCTTATGTTGTGTATCAGCTATGAGCTGGTTCCAATCGAATATACATTTTTTATGAATTTTTAAAGTTTCTCCAAAAGCCATGTACATGTACAATGTATATCTACATGTACTCTATAGTAGTGCTTGTTTAGCTCACTTAGCATGCTTTGTGGGAAACCCTGAGCACAATCTACCTGTACACATGTACATGTATCTACACTACATACATGTACATGTACAATTTACATGTACATGTATTTTGGGTACTGATATTATTACAATGTATATTCAGTATTCTCTGATTGTGTATGTGTGGGCATGTGGTGTGCGTATGTACATACATGTACATGTACATATACATGTACATGTATGCATTGCTAGGCTTTTATAAGTATGCATTTACTATAATATTTTATGTGTGATATATATCATATGCTACATGTACAGTAATTCTGTGTGTGTGTGTGTATGTGTATGTGTGTGTGTGTGTACTTGTATCATGCTAGTAACCTAACCTTATTACAGTTGACCACATTATAGTACACTGTTGACCTATCATCTCCTATCATTATATTAGTGTGTAGTTTGTAATGCTTTTATCAAAGACTCCTCATTCTCTCTTGTCTCTTGTACGTCTGTGGTCAATTTGCCAACCGTGACCCGATATCATTGCCCCATGAGAATTTACAACTTAATGTGTGTTCCCCTTCTTATCTTGATCCCACCCTCACTCTTTAATACACACACATACAATGTATAATGTACATGTACATGTATTACTCTCTTTCTCACCATGTCTGTCTCTCCTTTCTCCCCCTCTCTCTCTCTCCCTCTCCCTCCCTCTCTCTCTCTCTCTCTCTCTCTCTCTCCCTCTCTCTCTTTCTTCATATTGTCAGGTATTCCATCTCTTTCAAGTGGTGATGATCTTGCAAAGATTGGAGCTGAATCAAAGTGAGTGAAATAAAGAGAGAGAGAGAGAACTTTAAAAAGATTTGAGGTGTGATATAATTAATGATCAGGAGAGATGTATCAATGCGTAATAACTTTTTATTGGCACTCTCCATATCCTTCCAGCCGTTCAGTTGCCATTCCTTCACAAAATATTTACATTTAAATAAAGTTCCAATGTATCTACGTGTATAATTATCAAAGTATTTCAAGGATGCTTCGACTGGTGGTATGTGGTTGCTATGGATGAAGCCACAGCCACCAAGTCAAATTATACTGATGTAATATATTAAGTGTTATTATTTACAGTGTGTTATTGCATTATTGATCACCTCTCTTCTCTTTAAGGAGCCCCTTTGATGTCTGGAAGCAAGCTTACTGTGGCTTTTTCCCTCAGGTCTGTTAAGAATTCTAGTACATGTACAGTACGTATATTCTAGTAATTTCTGTATTAGTACTTGTATATTCTAGTAATCTATTGTGAATGCATATTGCTACATGTACATGTACATGTATGTCACAGTAATGATTCTAAAGCGCGATTCCTTATACAGTTACATGTGTACATGTACATGTACAGTATATGGAATATTTCGATGTACATGTACATGTGTGAATCTACACTATCCTCATCACATACACTATAATACGCTTAATTTAAAGCAGTTGTACTGATATGGTATCCCATAGTTTTGTGAAGGTTTTGTTTTGAGTTCAATCGGCCAATTTATACTCTGTGATACATGTTATGTCCTTGATATACTTGATATAGCTAAGGAATAATTTTAAAAATAAACTCTAAACATTTCCCAATACTCAATCTAAACTGGGACACATGGAATGTAAACTAGGCCTGCATACTATTATCTATGAATGTTGATCAATTGTTGTACAGTTTCACATGCTCATGTACTTGAGCCCCTGATAAGGTTTTTAAGGTTTGATGGACACATTACTTACTTACTAGTATCCTTTATTATATACAGTGGAATCTATTCTTTTTATAAGGTACATTCTTTAACAGGGAGCTAGTCATAGTTTACTTTGTCAATGAATTAACATAGAAAGGACACCATAGGAAGGATTAATACTACACTAT